AAAACAAAAGAAAGAAAACACCTAAACGCTCCAACAATCCAAGTTGGACAACAAGTACGTCCAAGCACTTTCCTTCCCTTCCTTTGCTACGGCACAAGGTGTTGGTGAGTGTTTGAAGGTTTGGTTGTATGGAGGAATGGATGTGAAGATGAATGGAAGTGTTTGGATGAAGGTTGTATCGAAATGGGGATGAATTATCAAGCAAAAACTGAACTAAATTTATGTTACACACACTTCCTTTTATAGAGGAAGTGCATGACAATGGAGGGGAACATGGAGTGGTGTAGCAATTGAGTGCAATGATGCATGAAATCTGAAATGATGGAGGGAACAAGGAATGGTGTAGCAATTGAGTGCAATGATTCAATGTAATGATGCATGAAATCTGAAATGATGGAGGGAACAAGGGTGGTGCACGGCAATGAAGTGTAATGAGTGTAATGGTGCATGAAATGAGTGCAATAAATCTGGTGCATGAAGGGGACAAGGGTGATTATGCATGACATGGGTGGAAAGGTGAGTAAGTGGTGAATCAATGAGTGCAAGGAGGTGAAAGGATATTGTGCACCTGGTAGACAAAGGAAAGGAAGTGGAATGATGCAACAAATGAGTCAATGGAGGGAACATGGATGATGATGCACGGCATAGGAATCCAAAGGGAGTGCAATGGTGGTGCACGACAATGATGGAAAGGTGAATGGTGGAGTGACATCCCTTTGTGACTGAGCTCTTTGTCCTTCTTACATTAATTCTTCTTTCTCTTTAACACATTCCTAGCCTCTTTAGTCTTCAATTTCGTCCATCCACCTTGCTCTATGCATGTGCTATTCATTCCAAGTCCAAAACTGCTCCAAAAACCAAAATGCATCTTATTGCTTTATAAGATCTATGGACATACAAACACACGAAAATAGCTTAAAATACATAATTAACTAAAGAAATAACAACATAAATGCATGAGAACAAGCTAACTCAGTCGCATAAATATGCTCCTATCAGGCTCATATTGTACTTTAGGTTTTCCATGATTAGCTCGTGGAGGCAACTAATAAGTAGAAGAATCGTCAGAATTTACCTCATTTATGCCACCATCTTGTACCAAACTGTTAGAAGAATCATCACTGGATGAACCATCATTAGGCAACTCGTTAGACATATCAGCAGCATGCAACCGATCATTAGAAGGCAATTCGTTAGACATACTAACAGGCAACTCACTGGGCACATCTGATCTATCGTCAATAGAAATAGTTCCAGGAATAAAAGGTGACCGATCACTATCTGTAGTCGACTGATCAGTATCACACAACATAATAGGTTATTTTCCCAACTCTGCCTGTAACATATCATCCATACAATCTCTTTGAATCTGTACTTTACTCCCCGTCTCCCCCTGAAGTGGAAAGTCGGAAGAGGGCTTCGCAAAATACGAAACTTCCTCATGGAAGGTGACATCCATGGTAATATAAGTTTTTTGAGTCGGAGGATGATAACACTTATAGCCTTTCTGATTGTTAGCATACCCAATAAAGACACACCGGAGAGCACATGCATCAAGTTTACTCTGCTGATGAGAGTAGACATGCACATACGTAATACACCCACACACTTTCGGAGGAAGCTTTGATACAGAAACAAGAGAAACATGTTGTTGTAGCACATCGAACGGTGTCTGAAAATCAAGAACCCTACTTGGAATACAATTGATCAAATACACAGCAGCCAAAACAGCATGACCCCACAAATGATTAGGAACACATTTATCCAACATCAAGGAGCGAGCAACTTCCATTATTTAACGATTATTCCGTTCGGACACACTATTTTGTTGGGGTGTAAACGGAGTAGTCGTCTGGTGAATAATACCATGATCACGAAAAAAACATGCCAAAGTGTGATTCACATATTCTCCCCCGTTATCAGACCTGAAGACCTTAACTTTGGTCTGAAACTGAGTAAACACCATTGTACAAAATTCTTGCAGAAGTAACGGAACATCACTCTTATTCTTCATCAAGAACACCCAAGTTAACCGAGTACAATCATTAATAAAAGTAACAAACCAACGGAATCCATTAGAAGTAACTTTCGTTGGACCCCACACATCAGAATGTATCAAATCAAATGGCAAAGTAGCTTTAGAATCACTTATAGGAAATGAAGCACGATGACTTTTAGCCATGACACATGTTTCACACTTGAACTTTGAATCACTATAAGTGCGAAACAAAGAAGGAAATAGATGTTTCATATAACTGAATGATGGATGTCCCAATCGTCGATGCCACAACCAAATTTGATGTCTATCATCCACTTTAGCACTTAAAACTTGATGATTATTTGAACCAGAAACAACCGTATCCTTCATAGTCAAGATGTACAAACCCCCTATTCTTTTACCATGACCAATTATCTTCTGAGTTTGAATATCTTGAAAATAACAATACGTAGGGTAGAAGTGAGCAGAACAATATAAGGTATCAAGAAGTTTTCCTACTGACAAAAGATTGCACTTAAGATCAGGAACAAGTAAAGCACAGACCAATGATAAGGTTGGAGTCAGAGAGATAGTGCCTTCACCCTTCACAGGGGAATGTGCTCCATTTGCACTAGTAATATACGGATCACGAACATAGTCACATAATTCATCAAAAACTCTAGGGTTACTAGTCACATGCTCAGTGGCCCCAGTATCTATTATTTATTATTTATTCCACCAAGATACATAACAACACTATGATTATATTGAGTCATTGAACAAAAATCACGAACAATAAAGGCACAAAAAATACGCAGCGGAATGAAAACAATTTACCAGATTGTAGCAAAGCACTGTTCACGTATTGTAGCAGAGAGACTATTCACGGCACTGTAGCAATCATTGTTTACGGCACTGTAAATGACCACTGTTCACGCACTGTACTGTAGCGCGCCACTATTCAATTTTTTTTTTTTACGAAGGAAATCACGAAAAATGTGGGCACAAAATTAAAGCACACAGGTCACCAAGATCGAACTGCTCTGATGCCATATTGAACTAAACATGGTAAATACCAATATTAAACTAAACATGGTAAATACCAAAAATATATATGACAATATTTGGGAATTTCTTATATATTCATTAATCTCCAAAGTGGAGTATATAAAGGAGTTACAATTGGTATTACATATGTACTTCACCAATGTGGGACAATAAACTACTATTTACACTAACTAATATATAACTCGCAACAGTAAGTAATGTGTACAATTATTAAATATAGTAAAATCCAAAATAATTATATATATATTGACAGTTGAAAGTTGACACATATTAGGATTGACACCAAAATTAATCTTGCAAATCCAAAGCTATGATTTTGGAATGGGACCCCAATTCATCTTGGATTTTGGATTGGGCCTCCATTGATAAGACCCACGGCCTCGGTTCTTGTTTTCACAAAGTGTATTATTCCTGCACTTGGACTGTTCAGGTTAGATAAGTTGGAACAATGTAAAACTCTCTTCATTGACGAAATATAGAAAAGGTTTGATATACGTTTGACATTCTTAATGATTCTCATTGAATTTCAAGAGGGTCCAAAAAGAATTAGTAATTACCTTCTCATTTGGATCTTCTCGACTCTTATTTTTATCCTACAATGTTGCTTGATAATTATAACCGCCTACTTTTTAGATCATATTTTAAAGATCATATATATTTGCAAAAATTTAATTATGTTTAAAATCGTTTAGTCATCTATTGGTTATTCAATGAATAAACGAACTATGTTTCTCACTTCAAAACTGAGATTTTAACAACGTTAGTCTAACAATTAAATTAAATGATTTTCTGATTCGGTTGATTTTTTACAAAATTAATTTTTGATATGTGATCGAGAAAGTAGACCATTTTGATTATCAAGTAATATTACAGAAAGTGGACCATCTACTCTCGCAGCCTTCTTATCCATGAGCCACTTTACCAGCTTTTTCCACGAATCAGAATACAGCGCATATTACTTTTAATCTACAAACATCCTAACTTCAGATGTTTGTTCAGCCTTTTATGCCGTCCATAGCCTATACTTCAAAGAAAGCTGATGGGATTAGAATTCTTCGGAACCAGAAAAAAAAAAGGAAAGCTTAGCTTCATTGTGAAAAGTAAGGCTGGGACTAGTCGTATTTTTGTTGTAAAAGAGGGAAATGTTGGATTTGGATCCTCTCTCCTGAGTTAACGGAGAGGATCCTCTTGATCAAGTATTGTCGGCCGTTGGATGAAAATCCAACAGTTATGATTATTTAAACTTTAAATGGACTTTTATGTTTGTAACTGTTGGATAAAAATTCAACGGCCCACAATACTTGGTCAAGAGGATCCTCTCCATTAGCTCATGAGAGGATCCAAATCCGGAAATGTTTATTCGGCTAGCCCATGCACATAACTGCGATGACACTGGATTCGGATTGTTAGGGGTATAGGCTTTACTAATCCAAATCCAGTGATTTAAAGACTGTGCATACTATGTGTTATCCACACATTCCATTTTATTTCTTACACACCTCTTGATAATTTATGTTCGTTGATTTTCGTCAATTCATCTGATCCGATGGCCAAAAATTAAAAAGGTGTGTGAGAAATAAAATGGGGTGTGTGGATATCACATCCCTTGACGATTTTCATATAAAATAATTGTAATTAATGTCGTTTGCGTGTGCAGTTTTGTGCATTGTGTATCCCAATTACATTAATCCAGAAACTATAGTACTATATTAATGCTGATGACGAAACTTGTTTGTTTTACTTTGTACACTTGGATTGGTGCTTTGGTTGTTACTATAATGTTGAGCATTCTACAAATATAGTCTGCACATGCAGCATGTATATTCATTCAAATTGCAGTGGCAGAGATCAGATAATATGTGCGATAAGGTGACTATATTTTATCTTGTGGGGCTTCTTTGCATTGGATGGGAAAGTGGCAACCTTCCACTGCTCTTTCTTATCAAGTTTGACGATGGATATAACTGCTGTCGGTACAAAGGGAACTCTGCATGTTGATGGTTTTGTTATCCCTCGTGAAGGGAAAGAAGCCGCTTTTTCTGCAGCTTCAGAAAGTGGATTTAATGAATTTGTCACCTGTTGGGTTCCACCACCAAGTCGTCACATTGTGACCACAGATCTTCCGCATGAGGTCCTCATGGTAAGAGAGTTTGCTCGTTTGGTAGGGGCTATTAAAAATGGTGCAAAACCTGAGAAGAAGTGGCCAACCCTTAGTAGGAAGACACAGATCGTACTCGATGCTGTCAAGGCATCAATTGCCAAGGGTTTTGAATCCATTGTTATCGCATATTAACCGAGACTCATCTGGTATGTGTTTTTCATCTTATCTTTTACCTGGGGCGTTCTTGTAGCGAGTAATAAGATCCTTATTGGCTCAGAGCCTCATCAACTCATCGTATTGGAACATTAATGTTGAAATGTATGGTAAATGAATTAAATGTAAAATAAAATGGCCGTGGCGCAGAGTGTGAGTGAAGGTCAAACAGAAACACAGCATGCATGATAACCTTTACATATCTACTTAGCAAAGTCCGGTACCTGGATTGTTTGCCCTCCCCATTCCATACCCTTCCCATCCCCTCCTATTTCTGTAGTCACAGTTAAAATATGTCAACATTTTATATTGATTTTTTTATAAAAATAATAAGACAAAAAATAATGAGAATATAAAATGTTGATGTGGTTTAACCATGATCACAGAAATAAGAGGGGATAGGAAGGGTAAGGGAAGAAATTCTATCTATTTTTTGTCTCCTTAAACCCTTTAATTTTAGATGGAAGTTCATTAGTCAAAATGATCATTACTCCACATTATAACAACTACATGGATCAACACTCGGAGATTTTAAAACTCAGCTTCTTATCTAACTCTCTTTGCATATATTTGTTTTAAATTAAGAAAGTGTTTTTTGTTGTAAACATTTCTAGTTTAAGTATGATTGTGTAAATCCTAGATAAGATTTTATTCTAGTTATCATTTCCTATTACAACTTGTATTACTTGGAGGAGAAGGAATATCTTCTCTCCCTCTACTACTATAAATAAAGGCACAATGTAGGAGGGATAACAACACACACATTCCCCTACAATTCTACAAACACACATCTCTCTTCTCTCTCCCACTGCCGCCGGCCCTCTCTATTTTGTCCGATAAAAATAGACCACAACACGTTATCAGCACGCTCCTACCGCTGCGCTTAGGAATCTGATGTTGGAGATTTTTTTTCTGCATCAAACCAGTTCATCCATATCATCACGCAATCAGGTTCTTTCCAAACAACGGTTTTTAACTCGATATTTTGCAAGCCCTGATAGCATGAACATTTACCATGATGCATGACCCAACTTTACGTTTAACGTATTTTAGATTCTACATAAATTGTGTATGCTTCATCACCAAAATTGCTACAATTATGTGAATTTGATATTTGCCATGAATTGAATCTTACATATGTACATGCATTGAAAATATTATTTTTCATATGCATCAAAGTAAATATGTGATTCATTGAATTATATATGTATATAATTGAATTGAAACAAATTTGGAATTGGGGAATTAGGGTTCTGTACGAACCCGTGCACTTGCACCATGCAAGCCGCAAGCCACCAGGCCCGCAGCCTGCGATGGCCCAACCAATCCCCTATCTTTCCCGAGCCGAGAGCCCGACGCCCATCGCGTCCCCAGCAAACCAACCCCGACACCTTTTATGGTGTCCATTGGCCACGGCATGGCCTGCAGCCATTGCTTTGAACCTCTGGTTCACGTCGTCGACGACTAGAAGTCGTCCCACATTTCAAATTGAACTGAGATTCACCGGAATCTCGTCGGATTTTTTTAATTCGATTTCAATTTTTTTTTAAGGTTTTATAGTTGTTGATACGTTGAGATTTCCTTATCTCTGTGGTTGTCCACGACAACCGTGACTCACTCTGAGCTCCAACAACCTCGCCACGACCACCTGCAGTGGCACCGTCCACCTTTTTCCGGTGTTCTTCTCCGGCAACACACACCCAGCACTCGCTGGGGTGTTTAATCCCAAAAAACCCGAGCCCTAGTGGGCTCCTGTCCCTCGGCCTGCATCAGCGCCTTTGGGCTTGCTGATGCTTTGAGATGTCACGGCCCAGCCCGTGCATAAAGAAAAAAAGTTTTTTTTTTTTTGGCTGCTTAACGCAGCCCAGTCCACCCCGTAGGCCTGCAGCCTACACCCGAGACCCTCCCCAGTCCAATTTTTGGGCCTAGGTCTCACGGACCAAATTTTTCAAGCCACCCATGGCTTCATATTTTCTTTTGGACCGCAAATTTATTCTCGGCCTATATTTTTAGGCCCCGAGATTTTATTATTTAATATTTTTTTTAAATAATATGGGTTTTTTATATTTTCACCCACGCTTTAATTTGGCCCCGAAGACCAAAAATAAATTAATTCAATTATAATTATACAATATTTTTGCATATATTTGTTGCATATTTGTTTGCATATATATTTGTGTTTGCCTGCAGGAATATATGAACCTGAAGTTCATAATTACTTTGAAACCCGAAGTTTCTTATAAACATGCCTTGTTTGAAAACCTGAAGTTTTCTCTTAAAACATATTACCCATGAAAACTCGAAGTTTTTCATGAAAAATTAAACCAATACATGTCTATTAGAACCTGTATGTTCTACTCCTATGCGGATGGATTGATTTTTCTCCATTACACTAACCACATCTTGTCCATCCATTTTGTGATAGGAACATGTCGAATTTGAACAAACTTGACTTCACCGCTTTAGAGGTCTCTGGAAGGAACTACCTCAAGTGGGTTCAAGATGTGAAGCTCCACCTCACTGCAAAGAACTTGCATCCTGCTATTGAAGAAGCAACGGATGCACCTGTTGGCGAAGCTGAATAAGCCACTGCTATGATCTTCATCCGAAGACATATTCATGACGCTTTGCAAACTGAGTACCTTGCTGAGGGGGATCCACGTGCATTATGGGTCGCTTTGGCTGATCGTTTCGATCACCAAAAGGACATATTCTTGCCTGAAGCAAGACACGACTGGCAGCACTTGCGCTTCCAAGACTTTAAGTCTGTGAATGAATATAATTCTGAAGTTTGTCGAATCCAATCACTTCTCAAGTTTTGCAATGAAACTTTGACTGAAGAGGATCTCTTGGAGAAAACCTACTCGACCTTCTCTGCTTCTAATATTGTCCTGCAACAACAATATAGAGCTCAGAAGTTCACTAAGTTCTCGGATTTGATCTCTGTTTTACTTCTTGCTGAAAAGCAGAACCAGCTGTTGATGAAGAATCATCAAGCTCGACCTACTGGGGCTACTGCTGTGCCTGAAACACATTATAGCACTAATCAGCACCCAAAACGCCAAAAGAGGCGTGGTAAGGGCGGCTAGAAGCCATCCCACCAAGGTTAACAGAGTCAAGGCTCATCCAAGGGAGGAAACAAAGCCCAGAAGCGCCCAAACCTCGCTCCCAAGGCCCCGAACTTCAAGAATAAGGGCGAAGCACCTGCCACAATGAATGACGATATGTGCTATCGTTGTGGTTCAAAGGACCATTGGTCCCATATTTTCCGTGCTCCCAAGAAGGTTGTAGATGAATATCATTCTCGTCGTAAGAAGTTTGAATCAAACTTCATGCAAGTGGACGAACCGGAGACTACAAAGATGGAGGTTTCTGACTTTCAGGAGGATACCACTCCTATGGAAGATTAGAATCTTAGACATAGACTTTTTTTTAGTTGAAATAAGACAATTGGGGCCGAATTCCACTTAGTAGCCGCACCCCACCTTTTTTGGTTGATTTTGAACAATTTTCCTTTATGTTTTGGATTATTAGTTGGCGATTTATTTTGGATATTCAGTTTTAATCCTTGAATAAATGAAATTATTTTGAATTGATACTTGTTTTTATAAACTTTTATGCATGTGACCAATTCAAATTAATTTTTCATTCTCGGTATGACTAGTGGGAAAGTTAGTTGTCTGGCAGATAGTGCAACCACGCATATTGTTTTGCGTAAACGCATCTATTTCACTAACTTCGTACCTAAGAATGCACCTCTGACAACCCTCTCAGGCCCATCCAACCTGATAGAAGGATACGGTAAGGCACGTATAATGTTGTCCAATGGTACAATCTTGACCATTGCTGAGGCACTCTATTCTCCATGTTCCGGAAGAACGTTACTAAGTTTCAAGGACATTAGAGATAACAATTACCACGCTGAAACCCACGTAGAAAACGGAGTTGAATTTCTGTGCGTAACTTCCTACGAATATGGCCAGAAGCGTATTCTAGAGAAGATGGAGCATAACCCGAGTGGTCTGTATACTACGACCATACGCCCCATCGAATGCCACTATGTGGCCGGCCCTACCACAGGGACCGCGCATGAAATTACACTTTGGCATGATGCGTTTTGGGACATCCTGGACGAATACGATGAGCCGTATCCTCAAAACTTCACACGGGCATCCACTAACCCGAAGCTTAGGTTCGATCCATGAAATCGCATGTCAAACATGTTCTATGGGAAAGCTTATTACTAAGCCTTCTTATGACAAGATTCGTTCGAATCCTCCCATTTTTTCTACACACGGATTCAGGGGGACATTTATGGATCGATTCAACCTCCCTGCGGACCATTTAGATATTTTATGGTTTTGGTTGACGCTTCTACACGTTGGTCATACGTGTGCTTGTTGTCCACAAGGAACGCTGCATTCTCCAAACTATTGGCTCAGGTTATCAAGCTCAGGGCTCACCACCCTGATTATCCGATCAAATCTATTCGATTAGATAATGCTGGAGAATTCACATCTAAAACTTTTGATGACTATTGCATGTCGGTTGGGGTTGAAGTTGAACATCCTGTACCCCATGTTCACACCCAGAACGACCTGGTAGAGGCTTTTATTAAGCGTTTACAAATGATTGCTCGATCGTGGTCATACGTACCAAGCTCCCGATCGCTGCTTTGGGCCATGCAATATTGCATGTAGCAAAGTTGGTCCGTCTGAAGCCTATTGTGACACAACCATTTAGTGCCCTTCAGTTGGTTACCGAATGCGAACCCGACATATCGCATCTGCACGTTTTTGGTTGTGCGGTCTATGTGCCGATTTCGCCGCCCTTACGTACAAAAATAGAGCCTCAGCGAAGGATGGGAATCTATGTCAGATATGATTCTCCTTCAATTATTCGTTACTTAAAACCTTTGACAGGCGATCTGTTTACCGCTCGTTTCGCGGATTGTCACTTCTATGAGACAATCTTCCCGT